TGCTGAAGACAACTGAAAAGTCAAGGAACATATAAAAATCATCAAATAAGAGCTAATAAGATGATGAGATAGCACCAGATCAACATCCGGAAGAAGACAGAAATCCAGGGAAGAGGCTCAATGTTTAGGGTTGCTTTTGCCTAGGATACATTGTCCTTTTCAAAAGAGGCAATGAGGCTACTGAAAAGCTGAGAATTTGACCCATATGTGAGACTAGAAGAATAAAATGGAGTCTAGAACCTACAAAAGATGGCACCCATAAAAACTACCCTACCCTTTTGGTTAGCACCGTGAGGAGCTATATGCTCTAGGAGATAGAATGAACCAGAAACAACCACTCCTCACATGGACCGAAGCCCAAGTATAAGTCACCTGTGCATCCCAGAAAATGTTAAATCCCAAAATTGGACTAATTTGATTCCAGATTACTAATCTCCCCAGGGGCCTGGCAGAAAAAAACAAATTCACTCCAGAGAAATGTACTAAAATTGACTGTGTTAATGGTTTCTCAGCTCTAAATATACTAAAACCCATTAAATTGTACACTTTAAGTGAATGGTATGGTAGGTGAATTATATCTCAGTATAAAACTCATATAAAAATAAAATTCTTCCCTAGAGGAAGAAAACATTATCCTAGACCTCATTGTTTTCATAAATAATTTTTCAAAAATAATCCTACTTAAAAAGAACCAGGCACATGAAGAAACACAACACCATGAACAAGAACCAGCACAAATAACAGGTAACAGAAAGATATCCACTGTTATTCCTGAGGGTGAAATTATTAGGCACAGACTGTAGGACAGTGTGCTAATGTGCACATGGAGATAAAACCAAACTAAAAATTCAGTGAAGAACTAATAACAGTGACATTGTAGATTTGACCTTATGATTCTGGCCATATGGCATACTACCTTTTACCAGATCAGGACTTGTGCAGATAATACTCTAAACTCTGGGGAAACTTTTAAAATAATTACCTAAAAGGACTGGAGAATAACCAAAAATAAGCAGAAACTGGAGTGGCATCTACAAATGGCAGAAGGGAACCACACTGGATGATTTTCCTATTTTTATAACTTTTCACCTGAGGGCAGACCCCAGTCAGCATCAGTCAAGCCTGCTAAAACTTGGTGGGAGCCTACAGTCTGGACTTTTTATTTCATCCAAGATGGAATAGTAGAGGCCAGATTTATCTTCCCACCTGGAACAACAAAAAAACCAAAAACAGACAAAATATATAAAACAATGGATGTTGTCAAGATACTGACCATCAGACAGGGAAGAATGATGAGCTCTGAATGATGGGAAGCACATGAGGTGAACCCTAGCTTATTATCTGAAAGTTTCCAGTCGACAGCATAGAGAAGGGAACCCAAGGAGAACCTGTTGTACCTGTTATATGAGAAGACATAACTAAGAGCCCAGCTGGATGAAGACAGGTAGAGTTCACAGGACTGAGTAACAGAGAGGAATGAGCTGCATAGAGAGAGAACTGCAGAGATCTGTAGAGCGTCCTCAAGTATTCAGGAAAGAACTGATGAGCACACACATGTGAAGATACTACCCAAGGCCAGGGATAAAACCACCCAAGAAGATTAGAGGAAACAATGCCTGGTACTCACACTGTACCAGGAATAGTGTCCGTTTCTACCGTCCAGGTTGAAACACCTCATGGCTTACATAGAATTAGGTAGAGTACTCAGAAGGGTCCTGCCTCAGTAATGGGGAAACAATTAGCCTTAGGTTAAATGCTGCCTTGGGTTCTGCCTGTCAAATACTAAGCACAAGACCTGAAAGTATCTGTTTTCGAGTAATTTAACTGTGTCACAGAACAAAGCTCAACAATATTTATAGAAATATAAAAATAGCAAGCACTCAGCAATGCAAAATTAACAATTTCTGGCATCCAAAGACTACCAGGTATGCAAAAAAGCAGGAAAAAAAATGACCATAATGAGGAGAAAAATTAATTGAAACCAATCCAGAATTGAGATACAGTTTAGAATTAGCAGATACAGACAGACTTTAAAACAGTCATTACTATATTCTATATGTCCAAAAACTTAGTACAGACATGGAAGATAGGAAAAAACAAATCCAAACTTAACTTTTAGAGATGAAACTAATTTCTGAGATGAAAAATACACTGGATGGGACTAACAATAGTTTAGATACTGCCAAAGAAAAGACTGGAGAACTTAAAGACATAACAATAGACAATCCAAAATAACACAGAAAGAAAATTAAAAAATAATCAAAATAGCATCAGTGAACTGAGGGACAACAAATGGTATAATGTATGTATAATTGGAGTCCCTGAAAAGAGGGGGATGGACCAGGAAATACTATTTGAAGAAATAGTGGCTCAAAACTGTACCAGTTACTTGGAAACTTAAACCATATCTAAGAAGCTTAACAAGCCAGGAACAAGAAACATGAAGAAGCAATACTAGGAAACATAATCAAATTGCTCAAAATCAGGGATAAAGAGAAAATCTTAAAAGCAGTCAATGGAAAAAGACAATTCCATACAAAGGAGCAAAGATAAGGATAATAGCATATTTCTCATTGGAAACAGTTCAATCAAGATAAAATACTCAGGGAAGGGGGAGGGATAAATTGGGAGACTGGGATTGACATATACATACTACTATATATCAAATAGATAAGTAATAAGGACCTACTGTATAGCACAGGAAACCCTACTCAATACCTGTAATGACCTATATAGGAAAAGAATCTAAAAAAGAGTGGATATATGTATAACTGATTCACTTTACTGTACACCTGAAACTAACACAACATTGTAAATCAACTATCCTCCAATAAAAAGAAAGAAAGAAACAATCAGAGGAAAATCATGCTGTTAGACTGGAAGAAAAAATAAATACATTAAAAATTTAAAAATAAAATATTCTTTAAGCAAATTCATTTGATTAAAAAAAAGTTAAAATACTCAAAGGAAAAAATTGTCAACCTAGAATTCTATACCCCATGAAAATATCTTTCAAAAACAAAGGCCTTTTCAAAAAGCAGTCTGGCAATGTCCATTCTAAAATACTTCAGGGTGTCTAGCCATATAACAAAAGCACCAGAACAAAGGGACAGGTACAGAGATGATTACTGTAGCATTTGTAGCAGACTAATATTGGCCCCCTATCAATAGGTGGCTCACAGGATAAATTAGGGTGCACCCACTCCCACAGACTGTCAGGCAGCCATTAAAAAGAATGCATTAGAGTTACAACCCTTAGAGGGCTTTCCACATTGTATTATTGTATAGAAAGTAAGATTCAGGTAACATGTGTGGTATCCCATTTTTATATAGTAAATGATCTCACAAAATTTAAATGTATACCTATATGTCTGCCTAGGACCATATGAGATGAAGAATATGAAGGTATAACCCCCAGGGGAGGGTAAAACCATGTTAAAGAAAGAAACAAAAAAAAACACAAAAAGCCTTCTTACTTAGAAATGTAAATATTTATGCATTTATGTAAAATTATATGTGTAAATCAAAAATATTATTTTTATATACTCTGTTTTATCCAATCTCTCCTAGGTTTGTTAAACCCTTTCCACCCCAGTCACTAATGCTAATCATTGTTGCATAATTGCTGTAATGAAAGAAGCAGGAGAGAAGGTTTCTGATGGTTGCATTTCTAAGAATTTATCTTTTTTTCTGTTACATCATGGTATTTCATTTCTAGGTAGGTATTTCTAACAGAGCCAGACTTAGCATTAATTATAATGTTATAATAGAAATAAACATAACATGCCACGAATATACATTTTAGACAGAGGAAAAAGGATTCTAATCAAAAGATCATGAAGTGCTATAAACGAGGGGAAACCATGTATCTGGGGAAAAAGAAAAAAGTTGTTCAGATTACTCTGACTTATGTAGTCCCACTCCCAAGAAGTTCAGTTTGTTGTCCTCATGCCCCCTTCCCCAGATTCCATGACACTCTGTTGGTGGTAGGGGAGCCCAGACAGAGGCTTAGACCATGAATAAGACCCAGGGCATTTAGAGTATAGAATACATTTGGTCCACATTTGAAAATAATAGTTAAGAATATGTTTGAGATAAGGCTTTTTTCCCTCTGTTTTTTTCATCCAAGCAAAGCTGGATGAATAAGTATGTTTGAGCTGAGTGTGTTTGAACATTACCATTAACTTCTGGGTTTGCAGCTAGTGAGAACCAGCCAGAGAAGCCTCACTTTGATTCTCGCAGTGTAATATTTGAGCTGGATCCTTGCAACGGAAATGGGAAGGTTTGCCTTGTCTACAAAAGAGGGAAACCAGGTAAGAATCATGGCAGGCATGGTCCTGTAGCTTGGGAATGGCCTTGGCTGACCTTGCTCTCCAGCCATCACACAAAAGGCATGCTCTTCCCTGACCTCCTGAGGTGCTGCTGGGTCTCTTGTAGATGCCAAGACCCAGAAAACCCCCTTGGTCCTCTCTGAGCATCCCCCTCCAGGCCAATTACTAGAGTCTTTTTAAGCTATTGTCATTTGTGTCACTTGTGAGTTACTGCAAAATAATAAGATTGAGATAATAAGTGAATAAATGCTAAAAGAAATAGTCATTCTGTTTATAACTCCTCCAGCAGGCTCATGCATTAGAAAAGCATCCAGGAAAAAACATTGTCTTTCTTTTACACGTATTTATGTAGGCCAATTAACAGCAATAAAAATCTGAATTACTAGACCTCAAACTAAGATCCCAGATGGGAAATCAAGAGAAGAAGGCTCTGGCTTCTTGAGCAGTGGGCACCACTTGGCCCCCTAACAGCAATTCAGTCCCTAGGAACTACAGAGTTGGACAAGGTCCAGCCCTCTTCAAGTAGCTTTCTGCCTGAAAAGGGTGAGAAGACACACCAGGGTTTACCTCTGGGGGAAAGGAGAGATCATCTCCAGCTGGAGGAGTCTTTGTGAAGTAGCCTTTGAGCTGCATCTTTTTTTTTTTTTTTTTAATATTTATTTATTTATCTATTTGGTTGCACTGGGTCTTAGTTGCAGCATGTGGGGCCACAACTAAAGAGCTCGTGTGCCACAACTAAGGAGCCAGTGAGCCGCAACTAATGAGCTGCATCTTGAAGTATAGATCTGAAAGAGTTATGGGGGGTGTGGGATGGGGGGCAAAAGGGGGCATCCAAGCAAAGGGATATGGGTAAAAGCCATGCCATGAGAGAATGCACCTAATTTGGGGGGAATGACAATTCCAGTTCATTGGCCATGTGGTTCATCTTGTGGATGAGGAGGAGATGACACCAGAAGCCCTGTGATTCCCTTTCATGTGGAGTTTTGAAAGCCAGATGAAGGGGTTTGGACGTTACGTGGAAGTAGGTAGGGAGTCAAGGTTATTTAGCAGAAGTATGGCAGGATTCAAATGAAAATGTGACCACAAGCAGAAATGGAAGTGGAAGTTACTGGAGGATGGAGGCCACTTAGGGAGGTGTTACAGCCATTAGACAGGAGATGAAATAGGAGAGGCCTAGGAGATGAACTAGGAGTACTAAGCATGGACAGTCAGAAGCAAGCGTGAGGTAGGAGCTGGTACGATAGTGCCTGCTTCAGCTCAACCAGCACATCACACAGCCGCACAGGCAGGAGTCCCAGGAGAGGAAGCTGGTCTGGGCTCCTCCATGGTGGTTTCTCACAGCACTTCTAATTCCTGACAGACCTCCTGAGAAAGCCAGAACTGTCCAGACAGAGTGCCTCTCCATCAGGAAGGCTGAGACCACAGTATGTACCTATTGGGGGAGGGGGAGTGTTGAGTCCACACAAGAAAGGAGTGCTGCTTAGATAGCCTGAATGCACAGATGGCCAAAGCCCAGCAGCTAGATCAGTCGACTGATCAAGAATTTGTAAAAGAATATAAAGAAGCCAGTAACAGTGGCCACTGGAGAACAGAACTGGGAGGGTGAAGGGAAAAAAGGGAACTTTTACTTATAGTTTACGTTCCTTCTACTATTGAAATTTGTTTTAACCATGAGTAGATGTTGACTTTATAGATAAAAGGAAAAAAGTGTTAAGCCATCCCTTCCTTTATGTCCTTTGTCTGCTATTTCAGCATTAGCACAAGACACTGAGATCTGGTTCCTGGACAGAGCATTATACTGGCATTTTCTCACAGATACCTTTACTGCCTATTATCGCCTGCTTATCACCCACCTGGGCCTGCCCCAGTGGCAGTATGCTTTCACCAGCTATGGCATTAGCCCACAGGCCAAGGTAAGGGGGGACCACCTGTCATCTCAAACTGTAGAATGTATCAGAATTTTCTGAGGAAATGCTTAAATTGCAGATTCCCAGCTTCCTCATCTGATGCAGGAGATCTGGGGTTGAGCCCAGGAGCGTGTAGTTTCAATAAGCAAGGCAGGTGCTTCCAATTTAGGTGGACAACCTCACTTTATACTAATCTAGTTAAATGGTTCCCAAACTTGGCTGAGCCTCAGAATCACCTGGGGAGTTTTTACTTCTAGTGAAAAGGGGTTGGTGGTGGGGGGGGGTTAGGTTTGATCATTCATTTTGGATAGGCAGTGCATGCATACAGGAACAGTGAAAAATCAGTCTCTTATTCACTGGTTCTCCAGTGAAGTTCTCCAGCTTCCCCATCCACTTCCCCACAGGGAGCCACTGTTAGTTTCTCTTGTGCCCTCACTGAGATACTTTATTGGATAGAAAGCATGCATGCATGCATACAGTTTTTGGTTCCTTTTTTCTAAATCACAAGTGCGATATACTATTCACATTGTTCTGCACCTTCTTTTCACTTAACTCCATGTTGGAGCTCATTCCCTATCAATATATAGAGAGAGCTGTCTTTTTCAATGATATAGAATATTTCAAAGTATGGATGTGCCTCGTTTATATTATAGATCCAGACACCATTTTAAACATACAGATGTCAGGTAATGCTGATATACTGCCTGGTTTGAGAACACCAGGTGTGTCTAGAAGAACTTTTGACTGGGTGGCAAAAAATGAGGGACTCGATGAATGTATTCATCAAGTGGACCTCACTTTCCTCAAATGTCACATGACAGTGACATACATCCAGGCAACATAGTGGGTGGTTGTGATCAATGAAATAAAATGTAGATGCCCTTTGCCCTCAGCTGCCCAGAAAGCCTGTAGGGAAGAGAGCAGGCAACTTCCCTCAGTAGAGGCCTGCTCTGGCCTCTGTCTGCTCCTTCCCTGTGGGAAGGATGCTACCAAGTCCACCTGATGGGCAGTGGCTGGTTTGGAGGCAGAACAATTAGAAGGACACTGTACCCTGATGATTTGGGACCTAGCATACCAGGCTCAGTGCACACTAGGTTAGAAGGAAGCGCATTTACTCAGATTCTTAGTCCTCATGTTTAAAGGTTATGAGACCCCATAAAGCAACGTGTGTCTTCCCTTTTACCTAAAGGAAGTGCTAATAGATTTTAGAGGCAGTTTTTCCTGAAGTCTTTTACTCTGCCTCATCTCCCCAGCTCTCTACCCCTGTATCTCCCCTGAAGAGCATAAACACATACTCTTCTCCTTTGAATTGTGACCCTCTCCCCTAATTCTGCCTTACAGCAATGGTTCAACATGTATAAACCCATCACCTACAACACAAACCTACTCACGGAAGAGACCGACTCCTTTGTGAACAAGCTGGATCCCAGCAAAGTGTTCAAGAGCAAGAACAAGACCTTAATCCCCAAAAAGAAAGGGTCTGTTCAGCCTGCAGGTGGCCAGAAAGGGCCTGCAGGTCCTCCTTCTACCTCCAAATCCTCCTCTGGCTCTGGAAACCCTGTCCGAAAATGAGCGCCCCACCTCCAGCTCCCTGCCAGCCCCACAGCGACGATTTCCATGCACAGATGCCCCAGGCGTGGCCCAAGCCTCAGATTCTGTGTGTGGAACCATAGTCCTCTCCCCATCTGAGTGACAAAATCCTAGGCCTTTTTTACTGCCGTTGGCTTGAGCCAGGATTTAGAAAGGCATACTCGGGTCTCCCCAAGAATCCTTCCCTCATACCCCTTACAGCAGGTTGTGCCACCTACTGATTCTGGAAGCTGTGGCGAATGTAAGGTGTTGTGTAAGTGACTAAGTAGATCTGTTAAGAGCTTTCTTCTCTTTCTACTCCAACCCCCCTACCCCTCAGTAGTAATTAGAGAAGTCCCCCATAGAAACCACTGGTTTTGACCTATGAAGCATTAGAACTATGCTGCTCAATTGGTAGCCACTTTCTAAAGCAGCTAAACTTAAGCCATGTTAAAAATTCAGTTCCTCAGTTATATTAGCCACAATGGGAGTATTCATGTGGCTAGTGGATTCTGTATTAGCACAGAGATGATCAAACATTTCTATCATCACAGAAAGTTCTATTGGGCAGCACTGCATTAGAATACTTTGGCATTACCCTTCCTCAGATCAGTTAACTTTTGTTAGAGAATATTGATACCTTAATTTGATGGGTTATAATGGTCCATGAAAAACCTTGAATATACATTTTTATGTTCTTTATATCCTTCACCACAAAGATCTTGTGTTGCTCATTTTCAGTTTCCTGTAGTTTCTCGTCTTCATCGGTTTCCTATAAAGCTTCTTGTTTCCAGTTTTGTGATGTGATATTTGCACATTTGCCAAAATTATCTTTCTCACTTTTTTTTTAAAAGAAGAGGTGATTCTGCTGTACCATTAAAACCAAAACAAACAAAATAAAATCTCCCAAGCATTGCTTTGCCAGGACACTTCATGCAGAGTTTTGATGAAATCAATCAGTCATTGTTGACAAGAGCCTCCACCTGCTCTACCTACTCACAACTGCTCAACAATTCATGGGGTAGCAGAAAAGAATAGAGAGGAACCAAGTTGTCAAGGATAGTAGCTGAGGTTTAGTCTTCCAGAAGCATTTTTCTGCCAAAACTCATCAAAGGGAGAACCAGCAGTGCCAGATAAGAGATTCCAGCATTTGGCTGCTTCCCCAAGTCAGTCAGGGTTAGAAGGGGATTGAGAAGTTGTATCATCTTCCACTGAGGTAGGGGGTCCTTCCTCTAGAGATCATGGAGCCCCTGAATTATTAAGTCCTGGTCCAGCTCTGGATTTCATAAATGAAGCAGCAGAGGAGCCACAAAACAATGGCGGCCTTCAAATCAGTGACGATCAGGTGGAATCCCCAAAGGGCTGTAGACAGAAGGGGGTTCCAACAAGGAAAGATTTGAGACCTGCCTCAGGAG